CTCCCCGTGAGGCGAGGGCACCGCCGACGGCGACGATCGGCGACGACGACGACGACGACGACGACGACGGGATGACGGCAGCGGCGGCGGCTACGGCGACGGACGACAAACGGCAGCGACGACGATGCCCAAGACGGATGATGGAGGACGGACGGGGGGCGCGGGGCATGAAGGATGCAGGCGTGGATTGGCACACGCTAGCACGACTTGCGGGTACAGTCGGGGGCTTGACCTGAGGAACCCAAAATAAGGAACGAGGCACCTTTTTTCCATGAATTAAGCTTCGATTCCCGATCGAAAACATAAGGAAAACCTGAGGCAAGCTGCGAAACACTTAAGGAACGCGGAGCCCCTCCCCAACGAAAAGGGTTCCTTCTTCAGGGCCCCGACTGTATGTGGATCCGGCGCGGGGGGGTCGAGAAATACCCCCCGAAGCACGAAGCCAGCGCTTCGACGGATCCGGCGCCGGAGTGCGTCGATTACCTCTGGAGGTGGGAGCCGTCGGCGATCCACGCGCCCTCGCCCGTTTTGGCGTTTCCCCGAATGGAGGAACATGGCGCTGGAAAAGCAGGAGACCGGCGGAAGAGGACGGCGTGCGCGCGCCCCGCTCGTCGCACGCACAACGAAGCATCGCCATTCGGGGTGTTCTCGCTCGTCCCTCGTCGCCGGGACTCGGCCGTCGGTCGTCGGTCGCTCGTCGTCGATGACCGCTCGTCGTCATTTGCCCCCACCATGTCCAGCGTTTCTCGCCCGTCGCTCGTCGCCGGCGAGGGCCCAAACGAGCAATCGAACGGACCACCCAGAAGCACGAGTACAGGGCAGTTTTTAAGACATGGGATTCAAACATATGGGAATGTTAATGCATGATTAATTTATGAATAAATTAATGCATGCATTCATCCTTGTATTTATTAACCAACCCTTTGATCTATGAGTAAGTTAATACATGGTCCGCACGCGGAGCATGTATTAAAAACGGCACGAGTAACGAGAATTGACCGACGCCGCCCCGCGGCCGCCCCGTCACCGCCTCGAAATCCCTCCGTCGCCGCCGCTCGGCTCGTTCCCGCCCCGCGGGCGCCCCGTCGCCGCCGCGCGATCGCGCCGCCGCCGCCTCGGTGCGCTGGTTTGCGCTGCTGTGCCCTACTTCGCGCCGTGGGTTCGCCCTGCTTCGCATTGCCGCGCGCTGCTTTGCGCTGGTCTCCATTGCGACGCGCTGCCCGCGCCCCAGAGGTGCTGGAAGCTGCCGACTGGGACCCATGAGCCAGCATCGCGCTCGTGTGCCCACATTGGATCGTCGGCGGGTCCCCCCGGCAGATTCCCTTGTGTCGAAGTGGTTCCAACAATTGGTTCCTCCAGATCAGACCCCTGACTTGCTCCTCCTCGACACCCTCCCAGGTGCTGCCCAGATGCCGTGTGCTCGCTTGCTGGAGGCGCTGCTCGATGCAGCTTCTCGTCGTGTGAGTTCTTTTGTTGCCCCAGCTGGCGAGTATCTTGCTGGCTGGGCCTGTGTCGTGCACGAAGGTGTGCTTGGTCCTGCCCTCTGGGATTGCAGAGGAAAACCCATCTGCTGGGGTTCCAAGACCGGCGGCGGGCGCCAGCACGCCCTCCTCGACGAGCGTCGCCTACATACACAAAACACACTGACACAGCACATGCGCACCGCACGGGGACCGCTCAAACCCACGAGGACCCCTTTGCACTGCCGGCCCTGGCTCTGGGGGGGATCCCGACGCTCCCCGCGCGCGTCCGACAACACCCAAACAGAACGAGCCCGAGCTCCAGGCCGGCCTGCTCCATCGATCCCCCGCAGCGCCGCTCGGGGTCCCCCTCCCCCCTCCGCCCCCCTGGGTGCTGAGCCCTCGGCGGCCCGGGCACGCCTTGCTCCGCCCTGGCATGGCCCTTCTGGGAGAAGGGCCGGCTGCAAGGGCCGTTCTCTTGCGGCCACGGCAGAAGAGAGAACGGACGACGACGACGACGACGACGACGACGACGACGACGACGACGACGACGACGACGACGACGACGACGACGACGGAGGACGGACGACGGACGACGACGCAGCGGAAGAGCAGGAGAAGGAGGAGGCAGGGCAGCAGGAGTGGAGTGCGAGGCGGGAACTTATCCATATCCACCGCCTGGGAAGCGACGTCCTGGTGCCCCGGCGTGCGGTGGACATGGATACATGTTGGCCCGAGGCGAATGGGGGCGCCTGGCGGCGGGCGGGGGGCGACACTCTCAGAGTGAGAATGGGGTGTCTTCGGAAGAGCCCTGCCCCTCGAGAGCAATGTCCCCCCGCGCGCCTCCTCGAGGAGCGGGGTGTGGGGGGGCGGGCTGCGTTAGAGGCCAAGTCCCCTGAGGACTTTCCCTTCTTGCGTGCCGACGGGTGGACGATACAGTCACCGGCCTGACCTGAGGAAAGATAAGGAACGATCTATAACAAATCACGCATAGGGAACGAGAACTAACGCATGCAAGCCTAAGGAACGACCGAGCCCCTTTTGGAATGGAAGTGTTCCTTATTCAAGCCGCTCACTGTAGGGGGGACGGCAGAGGGAAGCGGCTCAGGGCGTCCTGGGGGGGGACGATTGACTTTGAACCAGCGAGGCATCGCCGATTGATCAGCGACATACCCTCGGCAGCGAAACGACGCATTCCTGGTCGGAAAAGTGGGCCCAAGCCCCGGTGTGGGGAAACAAGGGGTACCCTCAAGTCGGGACTGTCCCTCTACAGGAAGAATATTCAGAAATAGACAGAAGTCTGGGGACGATGTTTTGACTATGTTTGGCTAAGTTTGAATCTTTTTGGGGGGTACCTTTATTTTTTCGTCCAAAGTCCGCCTGTAGGGGGACATGCCCGACGTAAGGGTACCGAGACCGCTCCACTCGCCAGACTTCTCCCGGGGTGCACTCTGACCAGAGTTTCGGATATCCTCCAGCCGTGGCGACGAGAGCTCTCCAGGACAAGCAGCGGAATCGATGCTCTCTCCTCTTCTGACTGAGGACTGGCGGTGAACTGGCGATTGGGGGTCGGTGACTCGCCCCCCTGGGCAAGCTTCGCTTCCCAGCAGCTCGGAGCGTGCGCGCATGGGCAGACACACGCATGGCGGAGCGACAAAGAGAAAGGCAGTTCGTGCATCGACCCTTCTTACAGAGGACGCTGCTGCATCAGCGCCCCTTGGCTCACCAGGAAGAGGGAAACAATATGGGGAAGACTCATGCCTCAGGCTGGTCGCAAAGGCTTGAGGTCGGTGGCCCTTCCAATCGGCCTTCCACTCTGGAGGCGGCCCGGGGATCTGAACTGACTGGGGCCCCGGAAAATCGGCAAGGAGGGAGGCGAGGCCAAATCCGCCGACCCTGTCGGCGTGTGCGAGGAGCTTCTCCGTTCGAGTTGTCGTCTCCGTCGCTCGTCGTCTTCGTCGCCGTCACAGTCGTCTCCTCGCCGTATCCGTCGTCCCCCGTCCCTTTCCCTGGGCCCTCCTCAAGCGTGCCATCCAAAGCGAAATTGTACAACGTCAGATTGGAGTCGAAGGGAAGCCCCTTCCCTTTGATCCCTTCCCTGCGAGGGGGGGGATCCCGGAGGGGGTCCCGGGGGGGGTCGCCACCCAGATTCGTTTTCACCCGGGCGGCCCCGACATATCGAACAGCCTCAAAAACAATTCAGAATGCCGAAGATGGCTCCCAAGATTGCCCACAAGAGCCCCGTGTCGCTCAAAGATCGGCCCACCACGGCTAAGATGGCCCAAAGACGATCCAAGAAGCCTCCTAGACGTCCCAGGAGCTCTCCAAAAACACCCCCACCAAGGCTCCCAGAGGCTCCTCCCCTCCTCCCTCTCCTCCTCTTCCTCCCCCCTCTCCTCCCTCCTCCTCCTCCTCCTCCTCCTCCTCCTCCTCCTCCTCCTCCTCCTCCTCCTCTCTCTCTCCCTCCTCCTCCTCCTCCTCCTCCTCCTGCAATCCTCCTCCTCCTCTCTCCTCCTCCTCCTCCTCCTTCCTCCTGCCACTCCTCCTCCTCCCCCTGCACCCCCCCCCTCCCTTTCATCTTCGTCGTCTTCAGGGTCGGCGGCACCGGCCGTAAGGCCTTCGCACTCCGTGCAAAATCGGTCCCCAGACCCCTCCTGGGGTCCATCTGGCGCAGTTTTCTCACTCTGCATTCGTTTTACACCGTCCATGGCCCGACAACACACCCCCGAGGCAGAAAAACAGGAAAAAGCATGCCTCCCCTTCCTGCTGGCCGGAACCGATGCTCGACCACCTGACCCCCAGCGGGCTCCAAGCACCTCGGCTTTCGGGCCGTACATCGGGCCTCGGGCGGCCGTTTGGGGGACGATTCCCGCCACCCCCGGGGACGCTCGCGGCACGGCGCATCCGCTGGGACGCACCCGGCGGTTTGAAAACGGAACACCTTCTCCGCCGCGGGGACCAAACGGGCTCCGACTTCAAAGCGGTCTTCCACTCTCCTCATCTCCCTCCTTCTCCTCCTCCTCCTCCTCCTCCTCCTCCTCCTCCTCCTCCTCCTCCTCCTCCCTCCTCCTCCTCCCTCCTGCTCCTCCTCCTCCACCTCGTGCTCCTACTTCTGCTCCTGCTGCTCCTCCCCTTCTCCTCCTCCTCCTCCTCCTCCTCCTCCTCCTCCTCCTCCTCCTCCACAGAATGATCATCATCAGCAGCATCAACAGCATCACAATCATCATCAGCAGCAGCAGCATCGTCATCATCATCATCATCATCATCATCATCATCATCATCATCAGCATCATCATCATCATCATCATCATCAGCAGCAGCAGCATCAGCATCATCATCATCATCAGCAGCATCATCATCATAATCAGCATCATAATCATAGTCCTAATCATCAGCATCTTCATTAGCATCATCATCAACATCATCATCAGCATCATCATCAGCAGCATCATCAGCAGCAGCATCAGCATCAGCAGCATCATCAGCATCATCATCAGCATCATCATCATAATCATCATCACCATCACCATCACCATCACC